ACAGCAGCACAGTGTTGCTGTTAAGACTCCAGTGTTCTGGAGACAACAGACCTGGGTGCCAGTGAGTCAGCTGGGGCTTAACGGTGCTTCTGAGCCCTTCTGCATACTACAATTAGCCCTAGAACCTGAGTCCATCAACCAAGTTGATATGACTAAAAAAGCAAAACAGCTTACCCCTGTACCCAAGTGCTCTGCTTTTGCACAGTCATCCAACTGCAGATTAAAATGTTCAGGAAATGAAAAACAAAAATTACTGCCTACACTGAGCATGTACAATTTTTTTCTTGTCCCTGATCCCCAAGCAATACAGTATAACATCTATAGACATAGTATTCACACTAAATAGACATTATGAGTCATTGAAAGATGATTGACAGTACAGAAGGGTGTGCTCACATCTTATCAAATACAGTGCTGTTTTATATAAGGGACTGGTATCAGAAGGTGATCCCCGTGGACAGAGGCACAACTCTGTAAAGTGACATCATATATACAGAGCACATGATACCACACTAATGCTTGGTGAGCACTCCATAGACTTGCCCTGCTGCTGTAATTAACAAAAGAGAATGCTGGGTGTTTATCTGCATCCATCTGCTTGGTGGCCTCTGATTCTATGAGTTCAGGCATTCCAGCCACAGTACCCCTCAACACAAGAGCTCTGGAGCCACTGAGCCTGGATATCTGTCCCATCTCTGTTACATGGAAGCTGGGTGACCTTAGTGAGTCCTGTTGCTTTTCTGCACCTCAGTGTTGAGAGGGAATAACAGCACTGTTGATGTCCCAGGGGTATCGAAGGAATACATAACACAAAGGATACTCAATAAAGGCTGTTCTTGAATTCACCTGGGGTAAGCTGTTTTGTTTTTTTAGTCGCATTGGGGATGTGCGCCCTCTAGCGGTAGAGCCCCGCCCAGTGGTGGTGCAGTAGCCTTCTGCCTTGGGGAGGGCTGAAAAGGGACCACAGTAGGTTAGCTCTTCCTGAGGTTTCCTAGAGCAAGAGGTGAGTTCCAATCCAGAACCACAACAGCTGAGTCAGGAGCAGCGATCTGCCTACACAGTTTTCCAGAGAGACAGTAGGAAGTTCCAGTCTGGGCGCTTGGGAACTCCAGAGAACTCTTCAAGAAGGAACAAAGCATGTAGTTAGGGAGAATCATGAGGGGTCCAAAGGCAGTTCTCACTCTCCCTTCCTCTACTCGGTCTCCATCCTCTCCACCCTCATTCTCTGCTTGTGTTGTACAGGCCGGGGCCCACAGGAGCCCTAGGACTCCATGGGCTCCCAGGACATCGGAGTCAGACTAGACCTGCCGGCCACCTGGACTCCAGCGCCATGCTTTCTGCCCTCCAGTTCAAGGTCAGCTTCTCCAGGAAGGCGACAGGAAGCCGAGATGTTTCATTGAATAACAGAGTAAAGTTTCGAAGAAGGGAAAAAGGCAGCAGGCAGAGTTCCTAGGGCTGGAGCCTTGCCAGACTGGTCCTCGGGCTCAGGGAGGATGGGAATGATGCAGTCTGGGCCTAGCAGGTCTCAGGAGCACCATTCGCCGGGAATATGCAGGCAGCAGCAGCCAGGAGGACTGTGGGGCTCTGGGAAGAACAGCTGAGCTGGTCCAGGCTGACTCACGGGGACTCCGTGCATGGGGCACAGAGTGTGCTCAGCATCGTGTCTTGTTGGAATCCCAGAGACTCCGCCACCCCTACCCATGCACACATATACACCACCACAAAAAAGCATCCCATGCTAGCAGTCTGTGTGTACCTGGGAGTGAGGGAATAGAAGCCGCCTCGGCAAGGAAGGGTCAGTTTGGAGCAGAAAAATCCCTAAGGGCCCATGGGAGGGGGCGGCAGAGTAGGAGGCCAAGCCCAGCTGTGGGCTGAGGCCACAGGATGGAGACTGCACACACAGATAGCTCACTTTCCCTGGACAGGCCCCCTCCAGTGCCATGTGTCCTAGATGCCTTCTCACAGGGAAGACTCAGCACACTTTTGTGGGATCACCCCAAATACAGATGGAGATGAAGCTGAGACTGGAAAAGGGAGAGGCTTCAAGATTCTGGGCCATGTCTACCCAGCACAACTGCTCATGAGTCTCCCTGGAGGTTCATAGAACCAGACAACTGGAATCAGAAAATCTGCCACCCTCTGATCCCAGGCTCTGGTGAAATGCTAGAGCCGTCTTGTACACCAGCAATCACCAACCTAGAGCCCTGCCCCAAACTGTGTACTAAATGCAGTGTAAAGCAATGAACAGTGACAGGAAGAAAGCGGTCTCAAATTCCAGCTCTGCTGTGCACTTACTGCAGGACCTTAAGCGTGTCATTTGCATCTCAGCTGCCCAGTTTCATGAAGGGACAGGTAGTGTCCTCTACAGAAAGCATTTATGAAAAATAAATAAAAGGCTGCTGCCATTGGTTGAAACTTTCAAGATGGGGTAATGTTTAATTGCTCTGACTGTGCCCTCTCATGGAACCCTTGCATGCCCCCTTAGTGACTGCTCTATGGTCCTGCTAACTAAACTGCACTGTTAACTCATGCCAGGTGAATAGCATACCAATGACATTCGATATGGGAGCTTGGGTTTGAGTAAGGTGACAAAGTCCCAGAACACACTGAATGGGGCATTCCCATCCCTGTTAGGATCTGTTGGGACTGAACAAATTCCTGGCCTGGCAAACCAAAAAGAGAGCCTGAAAAGGGCTCTTCTTGGAACCTGGGATCCAAGCCACCTCTGAAGCGCCACTCTGAGACAGACGTAAGACTAGACACTGCAGACAAAGCAGCTAAGGAAGGGCCCAACTCCATTGTTCTCATGACTAGGAGGAAGCCTGCTGGATGCTGTAATAGTAGCAGGCAGGAGGCTTGGACGCGTGTCTTCCTGGCAGGGTAACTCACTAGTGGGAAGGCCCTCAGTTCAGACCTCTCTGTTTAACCCAGGACCTACCTCTTTCATCTGGCCCCTTTAAGAAAAAAGGGGAGAGGCCACTTCCTGCCCTGTGCCCCTCCAGCTACAGCTGTGAAACTAGGGCTGTTGCACCCAGGCTGAGCTGGGCTGAGAGAGCCTCTGCTCACCCCTTGACCTTCCAGCCACCCTCTGCCTCTCCCAGTCCCAAGTCCCCAATCTTTGGTCCTGGCCCCTCCACAGCCACAGCCATCTCAGCTGATCTTTCCCTGGCTGGGACTCCTGGCTGGGCTGTACAGCCCTTCCCTTCCCACTCCGTGCTTGGCAGGAGGGTAAGCGTCTGTTCTCAAGCTGGGCCCAGGGGGCTGGCCAAGGCTAATGAGTGCAAAAGAGGGTGGAGGGCTGGACTGTTGAAAGTGAACCCCCCTTTCCCAAGGAGCCAGTCCCACCCACCAGGGGGAATGTGAGGTGAGATCAGCTGTGTCCAGGGAAGACTGAGAAAGTGGTTAGGCTTCCAGAAGAATTGACTGGCCAAGGAGAATCCAGACCCCCACAAGGACAGAAAGACCTCACCTGCTATCCATCTCAAGACACACAGCCACAAGCCCAGGTGAACTCTTGGCCTGCCTGACACGGTGCTGGCTGCCTATCAACCTGAGGCTTCCCCACACTTAGGTCAACCATTTCTCACCTCAAATCTTCTCCAAACTAGGAGGAATCCCAACTCATGCTTGCGATGTTGATAAATGTTGGGGGTAAGTCTAGGCCCTTGGTCACTTGTCTGGCCTCAGTGTCCTCATCCATAAGATGGCAATGATGGTACCCACCCAGCATCCATGTAGAAGGCTATTGAGTTCCATGTAGAGTCCAATGAGCTACTGGCATTAGCCTGCACTCAGCTGGTGCATACTTCTCTCTATAGATCTGCTGGCTCTGCACCCCCACCTAGACTCACAGTCCCTGGTAGAGGCTAAGTAGGGATCCCTGAACTGCCTGAGGAGTGGGCAGCCCCTCCTCTCTGTTCTGCCCTCTTTCTGCCTGCATATGGCCTTGTCCAGCAGAGTAGCTTTGGGGCAGAAAGAGTCTGGGTTCCTAAAACCCACCCCAAGCTATCCCTGTGCCATCACCGAGGGGAATCAGTGTGAAGCAGAGAGAGCCCCCCTAAAAAAGAATGGCTTCCCCAAGATTTGAACATAGAAACTCAAGGTCAAGTCTGTGCCTACCATTGGTTAGCAGAATAGCCCTTGTCTTCTTGTGTTTGTTGATCCAATAATGCAGAAAAGGTCCTGAATGATTGCCTAAAGGCTTCAGGGCTCAAGGCTGAACAAGCCAGGAAAATGCAAATTCGGCTCTCGAGACATCTCTGGCCTTTCCTTGCTTTATTGAGTCAAAGCAAATACTTTGACCTTTTTTATGGGGATTTGGGGAGGGGATACTTCATCCAAGAGAAACAGCTTCTGAAGGACTCCAGCCAAGAAAGCCGAAGGGCAGGGCTAGGAGGGTCCTCGGATCACAGCATGGGTAGGAAACTGAGAGAGCAGGAGGTAGAAGACCGGCAGGGAGGGGAAGACCCCCATTCTAGCTGCTGCATCTCTCCCTCAGCCACCCCCGCTGGGGGTGGCA